AATGCCATCCGAAAATAAATTGGCCCAAATCGATGCTTAACAAACTTATCATTCATGGAGAATAGGATCAATAGACTTCATTATCGGTGGAGAATAGCCTCGGCCTGATTCCGTGATCTGTAGCCTCCAGAATCGAAAAAAAATGGCATTTCGGATAAATCGCCCGAAATCTGTGATGGTACCCCTTTGGAATCTGCCAAAAATTGACCCAGAATAAATCCGCCCAAATCGGTTCTTAATGGACTCAATCATCGTTGGAGAATAGCCTCATGCCGAATCCGTGATATGTAGCCTTCAATATTCAAAGAAAATGGCCTTTCGTCGCCCAAGAAATAACGAAAATGCCATCCGAAATTAAATTGGCCCAAATCGATGCTTAACGGACTTATCATTCGTGGAGAATAGGATCAATAGACTTCATTATCGGTGGAGAATAGCCTCGGCCTGATTCCGTGATCTGTAGCCTCCAGAATCGAGAGAAAATGGCATTTCGGATAAATCGCCCGAAATCTGTGATGGTACCCCTTTGGAATCTGCCAAAAATTGTCCTGGAATAAATTCGCCCAAATCGGCGCTTAACGGACTCAATCATCGTTGGAGAATAGCCGCAGGCCGAATCCGTGATCTGTAGCCTTCAATATCCAAAGAAAATGGCCTTTCGTCGGCCAAGAAATTACGAAAATGCCATCCGAAAATAAATTGGCCCAAATCGATGCTTAACGGACTTATCATTCGTGGAGAATAGGATCAATAGACTTCATTATCGATGGAGAATAGCCTCGGCCTGATTCCGTGATCAGTAGCCTCTAGAATCGACAGAAAATGGCATTTCGGATAAATCGCCCGAAATCTGTGATGGTACCCCTTTGGAAACTGCCAAAAATTGACCCGGAATAAATCCTCCCAAATCGGTGCTTAATGGACTCAATCATCGTGGGAGAATAGCCTCAGGCCGAATCCGTGATCTGTAGCATTCAATATCCAAAGAAAATGGCCTTTCGTTGCCCCACGAAATTACGAAAATGCCATCCGAAAATAAATTGGCCCAAATCGATGCTTAAGGGACTTATCATTCGTGGAGAATAGGATCAATAGACTTCATAATTGGTGGAGAATAGCCTCGGCCTGATTTCGTGATCTGTAGCCTCCAGAATCGATAGAAAATGACATTTCGGATAAATCGCCCGAAATCTGTGATGGTACCCCTTTGGAAACTGCCACAAATTGACCCGGAATAAATCCGCCCATATTGGTGCTTAATGGACTCAATCATCGTTGGAGAATAGCCTCAGGCCGAATCCGTGATCTGTAGCCTTCAATATCCAAAGAAAATGGCCTTTCGTCGCCCAAGAAATTACGAAAATGCCATCCGAAAATAAATTGGTCCAAGTCGATGCTTAACGGACTTATCATTCGTGGAGAATAGGATCAATAGACTTCATTATCGGTGGAGAATAGCCTCAGGCCGAATCCGAGATCTGTAGCCTTCAATATCCAAAGAAAATGGCCTTTCGTCGCCCAAGAAATTACGAAAATGCCATCCGAAAATAAATTGGTCCAAATCGATGCTTAACGGACTTATCATTCGTGGAGAATAGGATCAATAGACTTCATTATCGGTGGAGAATAGCCTCGGCCTGATTCCGTGATCTGTAGCCTCTAGAATCGAAAGAAAATGGCATTTCGGATAAATCGCCCGAAATCTGTGATGGTACCCCTTTGGAATCTGCCAAAAATTGACCCAGAATAAATCCGCCCAAATCGGTGCTTAATGGAATCAATCATCGTTGGAGAATAGCCTCATGCCAAATCCGTGATCTGTAGCCTTCAATATCCAAAGAAAATGGCCTTTCGTCGCCCAAGAAATTACGAAAATGCCATCCAAAAATAAATTGGCCCTAATCTATGCTTAACGAACTTATCATTCGTGGAGAATAGGATCAATAGACTTCATTATCGGTGGAGAGTAGCCTCGGCCTGATTCCGTGATCTGTAGCCTCCAGAATCGAAAGAAAATGGCATTTCGGATATATTGCCCGAAATCTATGATGGTACCCCTTAGGAATCTGCCAAAAATTGAACCGGAATAAATCCACCCAAATCGGTGCTTAATGGACTCAATCATCGTTGGAGAATAGCCTCAGGCCGAATCCGTGATCTGTAGCCTTCAATATCCAAAGAAAATTGCCTTTCGTCGCCCAAGAAATTACGAAAATGCAATCCGAAAATAAATTTGCCCAAATCGATGCTTAACGGACTTATCATTCGTGGAGAATAGGATCAATAGACTTCATTATCGGTGGAGAATAGCCTCGGCCTGATTCCGTGATCTGTAGCCTCCAGAATCGATAGAAAATGGCATTTCGGATAAATCGCCCGAAATCTGTGATGGTACCCCTTTGGAATCTGCCAAAAATTGACCCGGAATAAATCCGCCCAAATCGGTGCTTAATGGACTCAATCATCGTTGGAGAATAGCCTCAGGCCGAATCCGTGATCTGTAGACTTCAATATCCCAAGAAAATGGCCTTTCGTCGCCCAAAAAATTACGAAAATGCCATCCGAAAATAAATTGGCCCAAATCGATGCTTAACGGACTTATCATTCGTGGAGAATAGGATCAATAGACTTCATTATCGGTGGAGAATAGCCTCGGCCTGATTCCGTGATCTGTAGCCTCCAGAATCGAAAGAAAATGGCATTTCGGATAAATCGCCAGAAATCTGTGATGGTACCCCTTTGGAATCTGCCAAAAATTGACCCGGAAAAAATCCTCCCAAATCGGTGCTTAATGGACTCAATCATCGTTGGAGAATAACCTCAGGCCGAATCCGTGATCTGTAGCTTTCAATATCCAAAGAAAATAGCCTTTCGTCGCCCAAGAAATTACGAAAAATGCCATCCGAAAATAAATTGGCCCAAATCGATGCTTAACTGACTTATCATTCGTGGAGAATAGGATCAATAGACTTCATTATCGGTGGAGAATAGCCTCGGCCGGATTCCGTGATCTGTAGCCTCCAGAATCGAAAGAAAATGGCATTTCGGATAAATCGCCCGAAATCTGTGATGGTACCCCTTTGGAATCTGCCAAAAATTGACACGGAAAAAATCCTCCGAAGTCGGTGCTTAATGGACTCAATCATCGTTGGAGAATAGCCTCAGGCCGAATCCGTGATCTGTAGCCTTCAATATCCAAAGAAAATGGCCTTTCGTCGCCCAAGAAATTACGAAAATGCCATCCGAAAATAAATATGCCCAAATCGATACTTAACGGACTTATCATTCGTGGAGAATAGGATCAATAGACTTCATTATTGGTGGAGAATAGCCTCGGCCTGATTCCGTGATCTGTAGCCTCCAGAATCAAAAGAAAATGGCATTTCAGATAAATCGCCCGAAATCTGTGATAGTACCCCTTTGGAATCTGCCAAAAATTGACACGGAATAATTCCGCCGAAATCGGTGCTTAATGGACTCAATTATCGTTGGAGAATAGCCTCAGGCAGAATCCGTGATCTGTAGCCTTCAATATCCAAAGATAATGGCCTTTCGTCGCTCAAGAAATTATGAAAATGTCATCCGAAAATAAATTGGCCCAAATCAATGCTTAACGGACTTATCATTCGTGGAGAATAGGATCAATAGACTTCATTATCGGTGGAGAATAGCCTCGACCTGATTCCGTGATCTGTAACCTCCAGAATCGAAAGAAAATGACATTTCGGATATATTGCCCGAAATCTGTGATGGTACCCCTTTGGAATCTGCCAAAAATTGAACCGGAATAAATCCACCCAAATCGGTGCTTAATGGACTCAATCATCGTTGGAGAATAGCCTCAGGCCGAATCCTTGATCTGTAGCCTTCAATATCCAACGAAAATGGCCTTTCGTGGCCCAAGAAATTACGAAAATGCAATCCGAAAATAAATTGGCCCAAATCGATGCTTAACGGACTTATCATTCGTGGAGAATAGGATCAATACACTTCATTATCGGTGGAGAATAGCCTCGACCTGATTCCGTGATCTGTAGCCTCCAGAATCGAAAGAAAATGGCATTTCGGATAAATCGCCCGAAATCTGTGATGGTACCCCTTTGGAATCTGCCAAAAATTGACCCGGAATAAATCCACCCAAATCGGTGCTAAATGGACTCAATCATCGTTGGAGAATAGCCTCAGGCCGAATCCGTGATCTGTAGCCTTCAATATCCAAAGAAAAAGACTTTTCGTCGCCCAAGAAATTACGAAAATGCCATCCGAAAATAAATTGGCACAAATCGATGCTTAACGGACTTATCATTCGTGGAGAATAGGATCAATAGACTTCATTATCGTTGGAGAATAGCCTCGACCTAATTCCGTGATCTGTAGCCTCCAGAATCGATAGAAAATGGCATTTCGGATAAATCGCCCAAAATCTGCGATGGGTTCGGTCCCCTTTGGATTCTGCCAAAAATTGACCCGGAATAAATCCGCCCAAATCGGTGCTTAATGGACACAATCATCGTTGGAGAATAGCCTCAGGCCGAATCCGTGATCTGTAGACTTCAATATCCAAAGAAAATGGCCTTTTGTCGCCCAAGAAATTACGAAAATGCCATCCGAAAATAGATTGGCCCAAATCGATGCTTAACAAACTTATCATTCGTGGAGAATAGGATCAATAGACTTCATTATCGGTGGAGAATAGCCTCGGCCTGATTCCGTGATCTGTAGCCTCCAGAATCGAAAAAAATGGCATTTCGGATAAATCGCCCGAAATCTATGATGGTACCCCTTTGGAATCTGCCAAAAATTGACCCAGAATAAATCCGCCCAAATCGGTTCTTAATGGACTCAATCATCGTTGGAGAATAGCCTCATGCCGAATCCGTGATATGTAGCCTTCAATATTCAAAGAAAATGGCCTTTCGTCGCCCAAGAAATAACGAAAATGCCATCCGAAATTAAATTGGCCCAAATCGATGCTTAACGGACTTATCATTCGTGGAGAATAGGATCAATAGACTTCATTATCGGTGGAGAATAGCCTCGGCCTGATTCCGTGATCTGTAGCCTCCAGAATCGAGAGAAAATGGCATTTTGGATAAATCGCCCGAAATCTGTGATGGTACCCCTTTGGAATCTGCCAAAAATTGTCCTGGAATAAATCCGCCCAAATCGGCGCTTAACGGACTCAATCATCGTTGGAGAATAGCCGCAGGCCGAATCCGTGATCTGTAGCCTTCAATATCCAAAGAAAATGGCCTTTCGTCGGCCAAGAAATTACGAAAATGCCATCCGAAAATAAATTGGCCCAAATCGATGCTTAACGGACTTATCATTCGTGGAGAATAGGATCAATAGACTTCATTATCGATGGAGAATAGCCTCGGCCTGATTCCGTGATCAGTAGCCTCTAGAATCGACAGAAAATGGCATTTCGGATAAATCGCCCGAAATCTGTGATGGTACCCCTTTGGAAACTGCCAAAAATTGACCCGGAATAAATCCGCCCAAATCGGTGCTTAATGGACTCAATCATCGTTGGAGAATAGCCTCAGGCCGAATCTGTGATCTGTAGCCTTCAATATCCAAAGAAAATGGCCTTTCGTCGCAAAAGAAATTACGAAAATGTCAACCGAAAATAAATTGGCCCAAATCGATGCTTAACAAACTTATCATTCTTGGAGAATAGGATCAATAGACTTCATTATCGGTGGAGAATATTCTCGGCCTGATTTCGTGATCAGTAGCCTCCAGAATCGACAGAAAATGGCATTTCGGATAAATCGCCCGAAATCTGTGATGGTACCCCTTTGGAAACTGCCAAAAATTGAATCGGAATAAATCCTCCCAAATCGGTGCTTAATGGACTCAATCATCGTTGGAGAATAGCCTCAGGCCGAATCTGTGATCTGTAGCCTTCAATATCCAAAGAAAATGGCCTTTCGTCGCAAAAGAAATTACGAAAATGTCAACCGAAAATAAATTGGCCCAAATCGATCCTTAACGGACTTATCATTCGTGGAGAATAGGATCAATAGACTTCATAATCGGTGGAGAATAGCCTCGGCCTGATTTCGTGATCTGTAGCCTCCAGAATCGATAGAAAATGACATTTCGGATAAATCGCCCGAAATCTGTGATGGTACCCCTTTGGAAACTGCCACAAATTGACCCGGAATAAATCCGCCCAAATTGGTGCTTAATGGACTCAATCATCGTTGGAGAATAGCCTCAGGCCGAATCCGTGATCTGTAGCCTTCAATATCCAAAGAAAATGGCCTTTCGTCGCCCAAGAAATTACGAAAATGCCATCCGAAAATAAATTGGTCCAAATCGATGCTTAACGGACTTATCATTCGTGGAGAATAGGATCAATAGACTTCATTATCGGTGGAGAATATCCTCAGGCCGAATCCGAGATCTGTAGCCTTCAATATCCAAAGAAAATGGCCTTTCGTCGCCCAAGAAATTACGAAAATGCCATCCGAAAATAAATTGGTCCAAATCGATGCTTAACGGACTTATCATTCGTGGATAATAGGATCAATAGACTTCATTATCGGTGGATAATAGCCTCGGCCTGATTCCGTGATCTGTAGCCTCTAGAATCAAAAGAAAATGGCATTTCGGATAAATCGCCCGAAATCTGTGATGGTACCCCTTTGGAATCTGCCAAAAATTGACCCAGAATAAATCCGCCCAAATCGGTGCTTAATGGAATCAATCATCGTTGGAGAATAGCCTCAGGCCAAATCCGTGATCTGTAGCCTTCAATATCCAAAGAAAATGGCCTTTCGTCGCCCAAGAAATTACGAAAATGCCATCCGAAAATAAATTGGCCCAAATCTATGCTTAACGAACTTATCATTCGTGGAGAATAGGATCAATAGACTTCATTATCGGTGGAGAGTAGCCTCGGCCTGATTCCGTGATCTGTAGCCTCCAGAATCGAAAGAAAATGGCATTTCGGATATATTGCCCGAAATCTATGATGGTATCCCTTAGGAATCTGCCAAAAATTGAACCGGAATAAATCCACCCAAATCGGTGCTTAATGGACTCAATCATCGTTGGAGAATAGCCTCAGGCCGAATCCGTGATCTGTAGCCTTCAATATCCAAAGAAAATGGCCTTTCGTCGCCCAAGAAATTACGAAAATGCAATCCGAGAATAAATTGGCCCAAATCGATGCTTAACGGACTTATCATTCGTGGAGAATAGGATCAATAGACTTCATTATCGGTGGAGAATAGCCTCGGCCTGATTCCGTGATCTGTAGCCTCCAGAATCGATAGAAAATGACATTTCGGATAAATCGCCCGAAATCTGTGATGGTACCCCTTTGGAATCTGCCAAAAATTGACCCGGAATAAATCCGCCCAAATCGGTGCTTAATGGACTCAATCATCGTTGGAGAATAGCCTCAGGCCGAATCCGTGATCTGTAGACTTCAATATCCAAAGAAAATGGCCTTTCGTCGCCCAAAAAATTACGAAAATGCCATCCGAAAATAAATTGGCCCAAATCGATGCTTAACGGACTTATCATTCGTGGAGAATAGGATCAATAGACTTCATTATCGGTGGAGAATAGCCTCGGCCTGATTCCGTGATCTGTAGCCTCCAGAATCGAAAGAAAATGGCATTTCGGATAAATCGCCAGAAATCTGTGATGGTACCCCTTTGGAATCTGCCAAAAATTGAACTAGAAAAAATCCTTCCAAATCGGTGCTTAATGGACTCAATCATCGTTGGAGAATAACCTCAGGCCGAATCCGTGATCTGTAGCTTTCAATATCCAAAGAAAATGGCCTTTCGTCGCCCAAGAAATTACGAAAATGCCATCCGAAAATAAATTGGCCCAAATCGATGCTTAACTGACTTATCATTCGTGGAGAATAGGATCAATAGACTTCATTATCGGTGGAGAATAGCCTCGGCCGGATTCCGTGATCTGTAGCCTCCAGAATCGAAAGAAAATGGCATTTCGGATAAATCGCCTGAAATCTGTGATAGTACCCCTTTGGAATCTGCCAAAAATTGACACGGAAAAAATCCTCCGAAGTCGGTGCTTAATGGACTCAATCATCGTTGGAGAATAGCCTCAGGCCGAATCCGTGATCTGTAGCCTTCAATATCCAAAGAAAATGGCCTTTCGTCGCCCAAGAAATTACGAAAATGCCATCCGAAAATAAATATGCCCAAATCGATACTTAACGGACTTATCATTCGTGGAGAATAGGATCAATAGACTTCATTATTGGTGGAGAATAGCCTCGGCCTGATTCCGTGATCTGTAGCCTCCAGAATCAAAAGAAAATGGCATTTCAGATAAATCGCCCGAAATCTGTGATAGTACCCCTTTGGAATCTGCCAAAAATTGACACGGAATAATTCCGCCGAAATCGGTGGTTAATGGACTCAATTATCGTTGGAGAATAGCCTCAGGCAGAATCCGTGATCTGTAGCCTTCAATATCCAAAGATAATGGCCTTTCGTCGCTCAAGAAATTATGAAAATGTCATCCGAAAATAAATTGGCCCAAATCAATGCTTAACGGACTTATCATTCGTGGAGAATAGGATCAATAGACTTCATTATCGGTGGAGAATAGCCTCGACCTGATTCCGTGATCTGTAACCTCCAGAATCGAAAGAAAATGACATTTCGGATATATCGCCCGAAATCTGTGATGGTACCCCTTTGGAATCTGCCAAAAATTGAACCGGAATAAATCCACCCAAATCGGTGCTTAATGGACTCAATCATCGTTGGAGAATAGCCTCAGGCCGAATCCTTGATCTGTAGCCTTCAATATCCAACGAAAATGGCCTTTCGTGGCCCAAGAAATTACGAAAATGCAATCCGAAAATAAATTGGCCCAAATCGATGCTTAACGGACTTATCATTCGTGGAGAATAGGATCAATACACTTCATTATCGGTGGAGAATAGCCTCGACCTGATTCCGTGATCTGTAGCCTCCAGAATCGAAAGAAAATGGCATTTCGGATAAATCGCCCGAAATCTGTGATGGTACCCCTTTGGAATCTGCCAAAAATTGACCCGGAATAAATCCGCCCAAATCGGTGCTTAATGGACTCAATCATCGTTGGAGAATAGCCTCAGGCCGAATCCGTGATCTGTAGCCTTCATTATCCTAAGAAAATGGTCTTTCGTCGCCCAAAAAAATTACGAAAATGCCATCCGAAAATAAATATGCACAAATCGATACTTAACGGACATATCATTCGTGGAGAATAGGATCAATAGACTTCATTATCGGTGGAGAATAGCCTCGGCCTGATTCCGTGATCTGTAGCCTCCAGAATCAAAAGAAAATGGCATTTCGGATAAATCGCCCGAAATCTGTGATGGTACCCCTTTAGAATCTGCCAAAAATTGACACGGAATAATTCCGCCGAAATCGGTGCTTAATGGAATCAATCATCGTTGGAGAATAGCGTCAGGCCGAATCCGTGATCTGTAGCCTTCAATATCCAAAGAAAATGGCCTTTCGTCGCCCAAGAAATTACGAAAATGCCATACGAAAATAAATTGGCCCAAATCGATGCTTAACGGACTTATCATTCGTGGAGAATAGGATCAATAGACTTCATTATCGGTGGAGAATAGCCTAGGCCTGATTCCGTGATATATAGCCTCCAGAATCGGAAAAAAATGGCATTTCGGATAAATCGCCCGAAATCTGTGATGGTACCCCTTTGGAATCTGCCAAAAATTGTCCCGGAATAAATCCGCCCAAATCGGTGCTTAATGGACTCAATCGTCGTTGGAGAATAGCCTCAGGCCGAATCCGTGATCTGTAGCCTTCAATATCCAAAGAAAATGGCCTTTCGTCGCCCAAGAAATTACGAAAATGCCATCCGAAAATAAATTGGCCCAAATCGATGCTTAACAGACTTATCATTCGTGGAGAATAGGATCAATAGACTTCATTATCGGTGGAGAATAGCCTCGGCATGATTCCGTGATATGTAGCCTCCAGAATCGAAAGAAAAAGGCATTTCGGATAAATCGCCCGAAATCTGTGATGGTACCCCTTTGGAATTTGCCAAAAATTGACCCGGAATAAATCCGCCCAAATCGGTGCTTAATGGACTCAATCGTTGGTGGAGAATAGCCTCAGGCCGAATCCGTGATCTGTAGCCTTCAATATCCAAAGAAAATGGCCTTTCGTCGCCCAAGAATTTACGAAAATGCCATCCGAAAATAAATTTGCCAAAATCGATGTTTAACGGACTTATCATTCGTGGAGAATAGGATCAATAGACTTCATTATCGTTGGAGAATAGCCTCGGCCTGATTCCGTGATCTGTAGCTTCCAGAATCGAAAGAAAATGGCATTTCGGATAAATCGCCCGAAATCTGTGATGGTACCCTTTTGGAATCTGCCAAAAATTGACCCGGAATAAATGCGCCCAAATCGGTGCTTAATGGACTCAATCGTCGTTGGAGAATAGCCTCAAGCCGAATCCGTGATCTGTAGCCTTCAATATCCAAAGAAAATGGCCTTTCGTCGCCTAAGAAATTACGAAAATGCCATAAGAAAATAAATTGGCCCAAATCGATGCTTAACGGACTTATCATTCGTGGAGAATAGGATCAATAGACTTCATTTTCGGTGGAGAATAGCCTCGGCCTGATTGCGTGATCTGTAGCCTCCAGAATCGAAAGATAATGGCATTTCAGATAAATCGCCCGAAATCTGTGATTGTACCCCTTTGGAATCTGCCAAAAATTGTCCCAGAATAAATCCCCCCAAATCGGTGCTTAATGGACTCAATCGTCGTTGGAGAATAGCCTCAGGCCGAATCCGTGATCTGTAGCCTTCAATATCCAAAGAAAATGGCCTTTCGTCGCCCAAGAAATTACGAAAATGCCATCCGAAAATAAATTGGCCCAAATCGATGCTTAACAGACTTATCATTCGTGGAAAATAGGATCAATAGACTTCATTATCGGTGGAGAATAGCCTCAGCATGATTCCGTGATCTGTAGCCTCCAGAATCGAAAGAAAATGTCATTTCGGATAAATCGCCTGAAACCTGTGATGGTACCCCTTTGCAATCTGCGAAAAAATTGACCCGGAATAAATCCGCCCAAATCGGTGCTTAATGGATTCAATCATCATTGGAGAATAGCCTCAGGCCGAATCCGTGATCTGTAGCCTTCAATATCCAAATAAAATGACCTTTCGTCGCCCGAGAAATTACGAAAATGCCATCCGAAAAAAAAATTGGCCCAAATCGATGCTTAACGGACTTATCATCCGTGGAGAATAGGATCAATAGACTTCATTATCGGTGGAGAATAGCCTCGGCCTGATTCCGTGATCTGTAGCCTCCAGAATCGAAAGAAAATGGCATTTCGGATAAATCGCCGGAATGCTGGGATGGCCGCCGCGTGCCGGCCGGGGGACGGACTGGGAACAGCCCCCTTTGGAATCTGCCAAAAATTGACCCGGAATAAATCCGCCAAAATCGGTACTTAATGGACTCAATCATCGTTGGAGAATAGCCTCAGGCCGAATCCGTGATCTGTAGCCTTCAATATCAAAAGAAAATGGCCTTTCGTCGCCCAAGAAATTACGAAAATGCCATCCGAAAATAAATTGGCCCAAATCGATGCTTAACGGAATTATCATCCGTCGAGAATAGGATCAATAGACTTCATTATCGGTGGAGAATAGCATCGGCCTGCTTCCGTGATCTGTAGCCTCCAGAATCGAAAGAAAATGGCATTTCGGATAAATCGCCCGAAATCTGTGATGGTACCCCTTTGGAATCTGCCAAAAATTGACACGGAATAAATCCGCCCAAATCGGTGCTTAATGGACTCAATCATCATTGGAGAATAGCCTCAGGCCGAATCCATGATCTGTAGCCTCCAATATCCAAAGAAAATGGCCTTTCGTCGCCCAAGAAATTACAAAAATGCCATCCGAAAATAAATTGGCCCAAATCTATGCTTAACGGACTTATCTTCCGTGGAGAATAGGATCAATAGACTTCATTATCGGTGGAGAATAGCCTCGGCCTGATTCCGTGATCTGTAGCCTTCAGAATCGAAAGAAAATGGCATTTCGAATAAAACGCCCGAAATCTGTGATGGTACCCCTTTGGAATCTGCCAAAAATTGACACGGAATAAATCTGCCAAAATCGGTGCTTAATGGACTCAATCATCGTTGGAGAATAGCCTCAGGTCGAATCCGTGATCTGCAGCCTTCAATATCCAAAGAAAATGGCCTTTCGTCGCCCAAGAAATTTCGAAAATGCCATCCGAAAATAAATTGGCCCAAATCGATGCTTAACGGAATTATCATCCGTGGAGAATAGGATCAATAGACTTCATTATCGGTGGAGAATAGACTCGGGCTGATTCCGTGATCTGTAGCCTCCAGAATCGAAAGAAAATGGCATTTCGGATAAATCGCCCGAAATCTGTGATGGTACACCTATGGAATCTGCCAAAAATTGACCTGGAATAAATCCGCCAAAATCGGTGCTTAATGGACTCAATCATCGTTGGAAAATAACCTCAGGCCGAATTCGTGATCTGTAGCCTTCAATATCCAAAGAAAATGGCCTTTCGTCGCCCAAGAAATTACGAAAATGTTATCCGAAAATAAATTGGCCCAAATCGATGCTTAACGTACTTATCATCTGTGGAGAATAGGATCAATAGACTTCATTATATGTGGAGAATAACCTCGGCCTGATTCTGTGATCTGTAGCCTCTAGAATCGAAAGAAAATGGCATTTCGGATAAATCGCCCGAAATCTATTATGGTACCCCTTTGGACTCTGCCAAAAATTGACACGGAATAAATCCGCCAAAATCGGTGCTTAATGGACTCAATCATCGTTGGAGAATAGCCTCAGGCCGAATCCTTGATCTGTACCCTTCAATATCAAAAGAAAATGGCCTTTCGTCTCCGAAGAAATTACGAAACTGCCATCCGAAAATAAATTGGCCGAAATCGATGCTTAACGGACTTATCATCCGTGGAGAATAGGATCAATAGACTTCATTATCGGTGGAGAATAGCCTCAGCCTGATTCCGTGATCTGTAGCCTCCAGAATCGAAAGAAAATGACATTTCGGATAAAACGCCCGAAATCTATGATGGTACGCCTTTGGAATCTGCCAAAAATTGACCCGAAATAAATCCGCCCAAATCGGTGCTTAATGGACTCAATCATCGTTGGAGAATACCCTCGGGCCGAATCCGTGATCTGTAGCCTTCAATATCCTAAGAAAATGGCCTTTCGTCGCCCAAGAAATTACGAAAATGCCATCCGAAAATAAATTTGCACAAATCGATGCTTAACGGACTTTTCATCCGTGGAGAATAGGATCAATAGACTTCATTATCGGTGAAGAATAGCCTCGGCCTGATTCCGTGATCTGTAGCCTCCAGAATCGAAAGAAAATAGCATTTCGGATAGATCGCCCGAAATCTGTGATGGTAACCAATTGGATTCTGCCAAAAATTGACCCGGAATAAATCCGCCAAAATCGGTGCTTAATGGACTCAATCATCGTTGGAGAATAGCCTCAGGCCGAATCCGTGATCTGTAGCCTTCAATATCCAAAGAATATGGCCTTTCGTCGCCTAAGAAATTACGAAAATGCCATCCGAAAATAAATTTGCACAAACCGATGCTTAACGGACTTTTCATCCGTGGAGAATAGGATCAATAGACTTCATTATCGGTGGAGAATAGCCTTGGCCTGATTCCGTGATCTGTAGCCTCCAGAATCGAAAGAAAATGGCATTTCGGATAAATCGCCCGAAATCTGTGATGGTACCCAATTGGATTCTGCCAAAAATTGACCCGGAATAAATCCGCCAAAATCGGTGCTTAATGGACTCAATCATCGTTGGAGAATAGCCTCAGGCCGAATCCGTGATCTGTAGCATTCAATATCCAATGAATATGGCCTTTCGTCGCCCAAGAAATTACGAAAATGCCATCCGAAAATAAATTGGCCCAAATCGATCTTAACGGACTTATCATCCGTTGAGAATAGGATCAATAGACTTCATTATCGGTGGAGAATAGCCTCGTCCTGATTCTCTGATCTATAGCCTCTAGAATCGAAAGAAAATGGCATTTCGGATAAATCGCCCGAAATCTGTGATGGTACAGCTATGGAATCTGCCAAAAATTGACCTGGAATAAATCCGCCAAAATCGGTGCTTAATGGACTCAATCATCGTTGGAGAATAGCCTCAGGTCGAATCCGTGATCTGTAGCCTTCAATATCCAAAGAAAATGGCCTTTCGTCGCCCAAGAAATTACGAAAATTCCATCCGAAAATAAATTGGCCCAAATCGAAGCTTAACGGACTTATCATCCGTGGAGAATAGGATCAATAGACTTCATTATCGGTGGAGAATAGCCTCGGCCGGATTCCGTGATCTGTAGCCTCCAGAATCGAAAAAATGGCATTTCAAATAAATCGCCCGAAATCTTTGCTGGTGGCCATTTGGAACTTGCCAAAAATTGACCTGGAATAAATCCGCCCAAATTGGTGCTTAATGGACACAATCATCGTTGGAGAATAGCCTCAGGCCAAATCCGTGATCTGTAGCCTTCAATATCCAAAGAAAATGGCCTTTCGTCGCCCAAGAAATTACGAAAATGTCATCTGAAAATAAATTTGCCCAAATCGATGCTTATCGGACTTATCATCCGTGGAGAATAGGATCAATAGACTTCATTATCGGTGGAGAATAGCCTTGGCCTGATTCCGTGATCTGTAGCCTCCAGAATCGAAAGAAAATGGCATTTCGGATAAATCGCTCGAAATCTGTAATGGTACCCCTTTGGAATCTGCCAAAAATTGACCTGGAATAAATCCTCCCAAATCGGTGCTTAATGGACTCAATCATCGTTGGAGAATATCCTCAGGACGAATCCGTGATCTGTAGCCTTCAATATCCAAAGAAAATGGCCTTTCGTCGCCCAATAAATTACGAAAATGCCATCCGAAAATAAATTGGCCCAAATCGATGCTTAACGGACGGACTATCGTCCGTGGAGAATAGGATCAATAGACTTCATTATTGGTTGAGAATAGCGTCGGCCTGATTCCGTGATCTGTAGCCTCCAGAATCGAAAGAAAATGGCATTTCGGATAAATCGCCCTAAATCTGTGATGGTAACTCTTTGGAATCTGCCAAAAATTGACTCGGAATAAATCCGCCAAAATCGGTGCTTAATGAACTCAATCATCGTTGGAGAATAGCCTCAGGCCGAATCCGTGATCTGTAGCCTTCAATATCCAAAGAAAATGGACTTACGTCGCCCAAGAAATTATGAAAATGCCATCCGAAAATAAATTGGCCCAAATCGATGCTTAACGGACTTATCATCCGTTGAGAATAGGATCAATAGACTTCATTATCGGTGGAGAATGGCCTCGGCCTGATTCCGTGATCTGTAGCCTCCAGAATCGAAAGAAAATGGCATTTCAGATAAATCGCCCGAAATCTGTGATGGTACCCCTTTGGAATCTGCCAAAAATTGACACGGAATAAATCCGGCCAAATCGGTGCTTAATGGACTCAATCATTGGTGGAGAATAGCCTCAGGCCGAATCCGTGATCTGTAGCCTTCAATATCCAAAGAAAATGGCCTTTCGTCGCCCAAGAAATTACGAAAATGCCATCCGAAAATAAATTAGCCCAAATCGATGCTTAACGGACTTATCATCCGTTGAGAATAGGATCAATAGACTTCATTATCGGTGGAGAATAGCCTCGGCCTGATTCCGTGATATGTAGCCTCCAGAATCGAAAGAAAATGGCATTTCGGATAAAGCGCCCGAAATCTGAGATGGTACCCCTTTGGAATCTGCCAAAAATTGACCCGAAATAAATATGTCCAAATCGGTGCTTAATGGACTCAATCATCGATGGAGAATAGTCTCAGGCCAAATCCGTGATCTGCAGCCTTCAATATCCAAAAGAAAATGGCATTTAGTCGCTCAAGAAATTACGAAAATGCCATCCGAAACGAAATTGGCCCAAATCGATGCTTAACGGACTTATCATCCGTGGAGAATAGGATCTATCCACTTCATTATCGGTGGATAATAGCCTCGGCCTGATTTCCGTGATCTGTAGCGTCCATAATCGAAAGAAAATGGCATTTCGGATAAATCGCCCGAAATCTGAGATGGTACCCCTTTGGAATCTGCCAAAAATTGACCCGGAATAAATCCTCCCAAATTGGTGCTTAATGGACTCAATCATTATTGGAGAATAGCCTCATGCCGAATCCGTGATCTGTAGCCTTCAATATCCAAAAGAAAATGGCCTTTCGTCGCCCAAAAAATTACGAAAGTGCCATCCGAAAATAAATTTGCCCAAATGGTTGCTTAACGGACTTATCATCCGTGGAGAATAGGATCAATAGACTTCATTATTGGTGGAGAATATCTTCGGCCTGATTCCGTCATCTTTAGCCTCCAGAATCGAAAGAAAATGGCATTTCGGATAAATCTCCCGAAATCTGTGATGGTACCCCTTTGGAATCTACCAAAAATTGACCCGGAATAAATCCGCCCAAATCGAAGCTTAATGGACTCAATCATCGTTGGAGAATATCCTCAGGCCGAATCCGTGATCTATAGCCTTCAATATCCAAAGAAAATGGCCTTTCGTCGCCCAAGAAATTACGAAAATGCCATCCGAAAATAAATTGGCCCAACTGGATGCTTAACGGACTTATCATCCGTGGAAAATAGGATCAATAGACTTCATTATCGGTGGAGAATAGCCTCGGCCTGATTCCGTGATCTGTAGCCTCCGGAATCGAAAGAAAATGTCATTTCGGATAAATCGCCCGAAATCTGTGATAGTATGCCTTTGGAATCTGCCAAAAATAGACCCGGAATAAATCCGCCCAAATCTGTTCTTAATGAACTCAATCATCGTTGGAGAATAGCCTCAGGCCGAATCCGTGATCTGTAGCCTTCAATATCCAAAAAAATGGCCTTTCGTCGCCAAAGAAATTACGAAAATGCCATCCGAAAATAAATTGGCACAAATCGATGCTTAACGGACTTATCATCAGTGGAGAATAGGATCAATAAACTTCATTATCGGTGGAGAATAGCCTCGGCCTGATTCAGTGATCTGTAGCCTCCAGAATCGCAAGAAAATGGCATTTTGGATAAATCGGCCGAAATCTGTGATAGTACCCCTTTGGAATCTGCGAAAAATTGACCAGGAATAAATCCGCCCAAATCTGTTCTTAATGGACTCAATCATCGTTGGAGAATAGCCTCAGGCCGAATCCGTGATCTGTAGCCTTCAATATCCAAAGAAAATGGACTTTCGTCGCCCAAGAAATTATGAAAATGCCATCCGAAAATAAATTGGCCCAAATCGATGCTTAACGGACTTATCATCCGTTGAGAATAGGATCAATAGACTTCATTATCGGTGGAGAATAGCCTCGGCCTGATTCCGTGATCTGTAGCCTCCAGAATCGAAAGAAAATGGCATTTCGGATAAATCGCCCGAAATCTGAGATGGTACCCCTTTGGAATCTGCCAAAAATTGACCCGGAATAAATCCTCCCAAATTGGTGCTTAATGGACTCAATCATTATTGGAGAATAGCCCATGCCGAATCCGTGATCTGTAGCCTTCAATATCCAAAAGAAAATGG